TCCTTCCCCTCTTTTCCGATGCCGCCGACTTTGGATTGGAAAGATGTAGTGTATGCGACCCGGACTGTCTAGACATCACGCCACATGCGCGTGACCAAGGTCGTGTATCCCCATTCGGTCAAAAGGTCTGAAAGCGTATGTATGAGCAAACTACGGCCATCACAGTCTGGCATGGACTGACAGCTCCCTGACACCTAATTCCCTGTGGTAGATGCGCTTGCGCTCCCTCTGGGTATACCGCTGGTGGGCATGGCTGCCCAATCATCATCATCCTTCTGACCCCTGTTGGGGCGTTGTTGGTGTTGGTGGAAAATCCTAATCAAGTGTATGGTGTGGTGGCGGGCCTGGGTGCGGGTCCGGCCGTGCCAGCCACCTGCGTCCTCCCACGCCTCCGGTCTTCTTGACTCTGTCTTGAAACCGGGTCCAGGTAGGGAGTGGGGACGAGAGAGTGCGGTAGATGCAGCGCAAGTCCATTAGCACTATAAAGTAATTCACGCGCAAGTCACCGTGCCTGCTGCACCTTGATGTGCAGCACACGGCGGACATCGTCGGAATCGACAGTCGAACTGTCGTTAGGTTCAAGGAAATTATACTAGAGCACAATGCCCCAAGACGAACAAAGCAAAAAATTGTGAGCAACAATCGCACTGCAGATATAAGGAATTGCTCATTCATAATCCCACTCCTTACACCAGAGTGAGGGAGGGCAGCCGATCTGATGTCCTCCTCCATCTGCGACAGCAGATAGGAACGGTTGGCTCCCAACCACTAATTCGCAACGTGTGCAGCAGCATCGCCGTCAAATATTGCGGGATGGTGCCAACACAACCCCATCAATGGTAACTTTTTTATTTTCGAAGTGTCAGAAAAATAAAAGCGCCACCCCTTCTCACTTATGCCTGCTAATGCAAATTTCCGCATGCATAAACAAAGTTAAGTAAAAACCGCGGTTTGTGGGATGTAGAACGGGAGTAGCCGTAGGCCAGCTGACATTGCCGGGGGACAGAATAGCGGTATTTAAGGCGCAGTGGGACTTCACATGGAGGCCGTTTTCGCAGTCCGCTAGCCCTTGTCAGTACGCTTCCCGTTAAGACGTTTCTTCCCATTCTATCTAAACCAAAGTTTCTGATCTCATGATTACAGATTATCGTCTTAAACCAACCGTACGCTGAAGATCGTTTTGATGTCCAGCCCTTTTTTCCCTAGTGGACCCGACGTCCCACGACACTTACCAGCATTTATGCACGCTGGAAGTAATTTGATGTAAGGAAGGGAGACTTAAAATGCTCTTTCGTATTTACTACTCAGGCTTAGTACGCCTTAAGCTTCCTTGTCGCTGCAGCTGACCCTCCCCCTAATCTCTTGCTCTGTGCCTGTGGCCGTCCGCTCTACATCGCTTTGTCACACTGCCCTCCTGTCCACCTCACATTTCCTGTCGAGTCGCTGCTGGGACGCGTGAGGCTTGTCACTAACCTCGAGAGCGCTCGAGGCCAATCAACGTTGCCCCTTCTCTAATTAGCTGGCGGACACTGAGGCAGAACGCAAGGCGCCCACACACGCTGGGGACTAGGCTCCTCAACGCCAGGCACAAACACAACTTGCCTGGAGGGACCGCTCGCGGTGACTGCTTGCAGAGCCCTTGTGTACGCACTTCCTCATCAGTAAAAGTTGTCCGACCTAATCCGTCTTCCCTGACTTCTGATTTGAGAACCTCTGTCTTGTCGAGCGACATGCCATCAAGGCTGTTTAGCGTAACTGTGGACACTGCTTTAGTGAGTCTGGTCTTGGATGCCCAAGGGCGAACTTGGGTCGGATAAGCTTTTGACAGTAGTAGGGAGAGATTAAATTCAGTAGCACAGCCTAATATGCACTTACTTACGCAAGCTGCATAGCTAACTCCAAATGACATGTTAGAATAAGATTTCCGTTGGTGGTCGTTGGCCCATGAGATGAAATTACTGGCCAGATATGTAATGTCGTGACGCAATAGGCTAATAGCTGAAAGAGAGGAAGAAGGCAGAAGAGTGCATGCTTTTATTTCCAGAAAAATGAAAAAACTCCTTCCAACAGTACGTTCAAAAATAAGCGAAAATGCCCGGACCACCTATTGAGTACCAAGGCACGACGAGACGAATACGCCTCGTAATCTCTAACATAGAAGATGCATTCATTGTGAGTGTCGAGTTTGGCAGTTAGCTCAGATCTTGACTTTTTTCAAGCGCGTGCCGACTGTTGTTACCTTGATGGAGGCATTGACTAGAACGAGTGAGAAGGAAATCCAATGTACTGAGTAAAAAGAAAAGGGTTGGATTCCAGAGTTCAGGTAAAAAAGTATTCATAGATGTTTTGGCAGATTTTGAATAATCCATATTGACCCAATTGGGAAAACCTCGGCGCCTCGGTGGGATTAGTATCCACGACAGTAAGGGGAAGGCTTTAGTACAGTCAACGCTCTAAACACATGAGCTACGAGGCACCGCCGAACGACGCGAGTTTGATCACACTTGGATCAAGTTACCAGCCCTACCTACTGCAACGTCTGGAATCCGCCAAATCTGATACAGTAAGTTGACTGCCCAAGCAGGATTTCCTAAAGAATTAACCTAGAATCCACCAGGCTCACCTTACTGTAACGTGACCCAAATGTGATTGAACTCGTGTCGTTCGGCGGGGCCTCGTAGCTCAGATAGTTAGAGCGTTGGCTGTACTAAAGCCTTTCCCTTACTGTCATGGATTCGAATCCCACCGAGTCGCCGAGTTTTTCACAGTTGGGTCAATATGAAAAAAAGTATTTATTGATAACAAGATGAGAAGAAGGTAGGCTCGATTTGAAAAATCTCATATGCACAAATGACCGACAACAGTGCTAAGACAAACGTCTATACACTTGTCCCTTATATGTAGGCGCTCGTTTCACCTAGAAACCCTTTATTCGGAAAACCTAAACTAACAGTTCACGGTTTTATCTGCAAATGTGTTTTTTCCTTAATTTCAGACGGGCAAGATCTAGGGTCTGAATCCGGGTCGAGTTGACCAATGATCGTAACCCGCCACTAGTTTATTTACGCGCTCACGCTGTTGGATATAGTCGGGATTATTTGAGTGAAGTAGCGCTGACGGATCCGATTTGACCACATGGCTGGCTGCCTGCATCCAGTTATTTAAGAAGACTAATTTGGTGAACACCGCTCGGATGTGACTTAGGAAATAAATCAAACTCTTAATGAAGGTGAAGCTGGTACTCCGAAAGACTGGGAAAACCAGGGTCTTCCTTGCAGTGTTTAAAGAACCCGGAATACCAGCTGGTGCACACGGCATCTGCTGTTGGGATATTCCTGGCTGATAACAGTTAAAAAACCAGAAATTGCCATTCCAACGTTCCTGTCCTCGTTCGTCACACTTTCCAGACATAAGTACATTTCTCAGTAGGCGGATAGGGTAGCATAATGAGCTGAGTAGATAATTACACACGCCAGTGAGATATTTGTAGAGTAGAAAGCGAGGGCTAGTGGTTTGCACGAGTAGCCTTAACCGGCCTGCATATGAGTGTTTAGCTAGACGAGTGCGAGTAATGCCAAGTGCGCGAAGTTTTTGCATATATAAGACCTACTTGCGCTGTCACGGGTGAGGGTTGTTGTAATAATTTCTTAAACAGTGCTTGTCGGCACTTGGAGAGGCTCATTGGAGTCTACATGACGACCACCTCTTGTACATGCATTGATCGAGTGGATGAAAGCAAGCATTTGAAACCGAGCCTATCAGGTGCGATCTGAGTGAAGGTGAGTGAAACACATGTCTTGACATTTGGTTGATACGTACTTGAGGGTATCGTGTGGCTTCTCCTGAACGCATTATCTTACAACCATGTTTTTATAAAAACGTGTTGAAATCGAGCTTACGTAGACTACCTCGTCATCCTAGTCGATGCTCATAGGACTGCAACTGTCAGCTGTCTGACGTATAAGTTGTTGGCACAGGAATGTTCGGAAAATTGTTGTTTAGTCAAATTCTACCTCAGACGGCCAAAAAGTTGGACAGCTGCCAATACAGTATTGGGTTTTCGGCCTAACATTGTATTCGCTTTCCTGTTATTTATAAGAAGTTTCTTATTGCAAATCAAAGTCCCCAGTCCGTTTTTTTCGGTTCTCGCAGATTATTCGGTCATCAGACAAAAAATTACAATGGTGCTACAAGTCATTTTGCTAGAATTCGTATGCTAAATAGACTGTGCTAAAATTTATCCCCAAAATATCCCGGTTGTACGTACTGGGCAATTTTATGAACATGCTCAATTGTCTTCAGTAGACTAGCTTCTGTCTTCAACTATCATTTTCGAGAAGTCGAAGTATTACTGCTGTCATGATATATGAGTGTACCCTTGGCCCTTACCGTGCCATAAATGGGTATCTAATGCCCTATGCCGTCCTACGACTCAAATGCAAATGCCCATCTTTTGTCCTCGTTTGTCATCCTACGAAAGTTAGTTGTGCGTTCTTCTTGAGACGGCCTGAGAAGCTTACCACTGGGTTCAGGTGGAACATGAACATTCCTGACAGTCTGGGTGCCTGATAACATAAGAAGTATAAACGTAACTTTCGAGACCACATTTACCAAAAATATGCGAAAACAATCATGAACCTAAAAAAGCGCGGTACAACTTATAAAAAAAATTATTACTTCTAAAACTTATCAACACTAGACCGACAGACAGTTGGAAAGAGTACAACTTTCAGAGGACATATTTTTACAAAACTAACGAAGATTGGGCACTGAATTCCAAGGTAGATAAATGACTCATGTAAGTGTCAAAATATATACATTGGAGATGTCGGAAATTATAGTGATTGCTACTGACAAGGGGGTTGAAACATGTATACATGCAAAGTTAGCATTTTTCATGCGTGGACCGAATTCATTTGTGTTCCGTGGTCGTAGAATTTGGTCTGCGCCTCGTCAAAGCTGGTCATTGGTAGGGTGTAGTCGCTGATGATGGTGGCGAATTAGGATCCCTGGGGCGGCAGGTGCAGGCTCACCGGTCGGTCAAGGGTGTCCTGCGGCGGACAGAACAATCGTCCCATAATGTCGTTTCGGATGGCGATGGCGACACCCGCGTCTCGTCGTTTTGCCCTAGGGCGACAGCTCCAGAAGGTGTATCCGGCACCCACCTCCTGCAGTTGGCCTTGTTCGGAGATTCGGGTCTTGTTGAGTGCGGCGATGTCCACCTTGTAGCGCGCCACTTCTCGCGCCACTAGCGCCGTCCTCCGTTCCGGTCGATTGCCTCTCGGATTGTCTAAAAGAGAAGGAACATTCCAGGCTGACAGAGTGAGCAGACTCAATCTACCAGTTTTTGGAGTGGGGTGGAGGGGTGGGGGAGGGGGAAGAAAGAGATTGTTGTTGTTGGTCGTTGCTTTCCAACCGCGAGTTTTGTATCTCAGAGCCACGATCAGCACGCAGAGGACGTGATTCCCGGGTTTGTGTAGGGTACCATTTCTAGTCCCCTTCTCTGCGAATAGGGTAGCACTTATGCTCCTTAATGGGGCTGCTTAGACGTCCCAGAGGGCTGCTGGACTCCACTATGGGCGTCGACCTTGTTTAGTAGAAAAACTGTGCCGAGGCGCCAGACTATTTTGCCTTTCCCTACCTGTTCCTCATTCTTTAACTTACTGGTTCTTTGACTAAATGAAATGAACACAACACTGCGCTAAGCGCTCGGCATGTGTTGGGTCGTCAGGTCGTTTGACTTCTGATTGTTAATTCATTCATATCTCTGGTCTTATCCTGACATTCATAGTCTGGGATTGACGGTTCTGTCCTAGCGCTCACTACAGTGGTGACCTTTTTGACGTTTGCGCTTATACCTTTAATTTGTTGACTTTCTATTTGCATACAGTACGTTTGCCTTCTTTCTTTCTACCATCATGACCTCTACGAATTCCAACGATGCCACTTCTTCTTTCAGTGGACTTGTTTCTTCTCTCCCAGACTTTTGGCAACATGCGTCAGAACCTTATTTTTTCCGCATCGAGGCGACATTTCACTCCGGCAAGATAACACGTGAAACGGACAAATATTATAAGTTGGTCGAGGCCCCTCCTCCGACCATTCTTTCCCAAGTGCAGACGTTTCTGAGATATCCCCGACTGATGCTCCCTACACCAAGTTAAAGGCTGAATACCTTCGCCTGACATCAGTCTCCTGTTGGCAACGTTATCACGCACTGGTGAAAGAGGAGGACTTGGGTGATTGCAAGCCATTGTAACTCTTGCGTCGTATGCGTTCTCTCGTTGGGAACATGGTCGTCGACGATAAGTTCTTTAAAGAGATGCTCTTAAAACGTCTGCCGACGTCGGTACAAGCAATCTTGGCCTCTGGCTCCGACGACCTAGACATATCAAAGCTAGCGGAGATGGCCGACCGTCTGATGGAGGTTGAGCGTTTGTCCTCCCCGACGATTGCTCCGGTTTCCCAGCCTCTCACCGTGTCCACCTCTGACCTGGCTGAACTTAAGACACAGATTGCTCAATTGTCAGCGACCGTTGACGCTTTGGAGCTGCGCCCATTCCCCGGTCCCTCTCGACGTTCCTTCGGCCGTGACCGTCGTCGTTCCCGCCCTTGCCCCAGGACCGCAAACCTAGGTTGGTATCATGTCAACTATGGCGATAAGGCGCAGCGCTGTGTCCCACCCTGTGACCCTAGCTAGCCTGGGTCGCCTGCAGGATTGCATGTCGCCCTCTCTGTAGAACGTTTTAAATTGGGTGTGAGACAGGGAATGTGGACAGGTAAAGAGACGGAAAGCAGACTTTCCCTCTCCCTCTCTGAGCTAACTGATTGCTGAAATATAAACGGTAAGCAAGCAAATTCAACAGAATAGTAGCTAACTTACATGGTGGTCGCTTACCTTGTGGTCTCCTACAGGGTTTCAAACAGAGCCTCATCTTGAAGATGAGGAGAGGATGATTCATCCGGCTAGCGGTGGTCCTCGCTCTCCCCGTAGGACTTTGGAGGTGGGAGGAAAGGGATTAGATGGGGTGAGGGGAGGCGGGTGGGGATGGGAAAGGACACCGGATACCCTCAACCCGGTTTAGTCCATCGATCGATGCGGTTACCTGGGTGTGGCCGCCACGGAAAGTCTAACTTCGAGGAGCCACGCGCGCGAGTTGGGTGTAGTCAACACCTCCAAACAAGGGAAGCGACTTACTACAACCATTATGTAAATCGCACCTAATTAATATGTCTTTCATGGAGTCCAAGATTCCCGACGCCTGGCGTACAGTGAGAATCACTCCCATCCCTAAAAAATTGCTAATTTTGATCCTAAATCTTTTCGGCTAATTGCCTGCTCCTCCGTACTAATAAAGCTTGCTAAAAGAGTTGCCCTAGATATTATAAAGCCTTTTTCTTCCAGTTTTTCCGACCCTTTACAATTTAAATAGAAAGCCAAATGGAGCTCTTTAGATGCTGTTGCTCTTGTGGTCCGCTCTGCTCTAAAAGAATTAGACAAGGACTGCCGCAAGTACGCATGCGCTTTTCTTGACTACTCCTCCGCCTTCAATACCGTTCCGCGCCCTCTTCTCCTTACAAAAACAATCGCGCGCGGCTCTCTAGGCTGGACTGTCCCTTCGCTTAGCGATTATTTTACTTCGTGCACTCAATCTGTCCAATCAGGCAAGCGGAAATCTACGATTCTTCCCAATGACTGCGGTGTTCTTCAAGGATCCATTCTGTCCTCCCAACTTTTCTCCCTCCAAACCGACGATCTAAGGTCCCCTAATGACTGTCTTTTGGTTAAGTATGCTGATGATGTGGTTGTTGGACACCCTTTCAAATGTCAGACGCACCTCCAGTCTCTAAAGATGGCCTAAACCATGTCCCAGTATGATCGGAGGAAGATGGTCTCCTAATGAACAACCAAAAATCTGTTCAGTGTATTTTCCGACTGCGGCCCTCTCCCAGTCCTGAATCCTCTGACATCATTCCGAACGAGGTATCCTGTTTCAGGTACCTCGGCGTTAATTTGTCCTCGAATCTTTCATTTTCCCTCCATATTGAGTCCCTATATACTAAAGTTCGTAAACGTCTTTATCACATGCATCGTTTATGTTCCTACCACACAATTCAACCTTTAGTTTGTCGATTCATCGATGTCTGCATTCTTCCTATTATCCCATACTGCTCTCCTGTTATTCTTCCTGCTTCGCCTAAAAAGGATCTTTTACTTTTGAAACGAGTCCTCCGCATGCTTTCTTCAGCTGCTGGTGTTTCTTATCTTTTTTAAGTCGACACTATCTTACAACGAGATTTCAATGAGGCCAAGCAATTCGCTGGTCAGACAATAGATGACGTTGCCCATCTCTTGAATCCTGGTCTTATTTCTGCGAAGTCTTCCCGTCCGATGCGCCGCAGCTTCTGACTTATGTCATGTCGCACATCGGCTTTTCGAGCTTCTGTATTACCATTCCTGGCGCGCTATCTTACGTGCGAAAAGATAGAAATATAGAAGCTAAGACTTGAACTATCCTCATAATAATAGTTTCTTTTGTGTTAAACTTTGACTCTTGAATAATCTATTAAATTGTTTACTGCCCATAATGAACAGAACCAATTTTTTGCTGAAAATTTCGAATTTATGATTTCAAAATAAAGCGACTTCCTCTCTCCACTCTCCCCTCTCAAATCCACAGCTGAAAGCCAGAAATGACTTTTTTCGTCTTACCGTTGGCGTGCATTTCCAGGTCTCAAGTTGTACAAATCAAATCGGATTAGGTTACGATCTTTTTTACAGTTGGACATCGAGGCTCCACTGATCATCAAAATGTTATCGAA